GTTTCTGATTTTGGGTTTGTTTTTTATTTTTTCATTTTTTAAACTGTAAAACCACTGCAAAAGCAAAAGTTATTACAGGACAACAGACAGTATATTTCATTTATTTACTGCTCTGCAAATTAAAGTAGCTTCTAGGCCAAAATTACCTTCTCATGACACTACTTCCCTGGACATAAAGTCAGTAGGCACCACTGGCAGATCTGAAGATGCCCAAACATCTATTTGCTGTATATCTGAAGCTCTACATCATAGAAGGTGGTTATTTTAACCAAGAGAGGAATTTCACAACCCCAGCATTTCAATCTTCTCAAAAAGCTCTGAAATTGGTCATTTCATAACTAAGCGCTATTATTCCTAGTGGGCCAAGCATTCTCTAGTAACAATTTAGGTGTCCTGGGAGTCCCTCTAACTCACTCAGGCTGTTATGGCACTGTTAAGAACATTAGAGCCTAGAACCCAATCACAGTGCATTAAATGGTGTTAGTGCTCTCTGAGTTTTAATAAACCAGGCAATGGAACGAATTTTCTATCGGGGAGTACAAGGAATTTGTTTTCAAATGTTATTTAGACTTCCTTTAGATTTTCGCATTCGCTACTCCAGTATTAGAAGGTGAAACTTAAAGATTTAAATAATAATATAGAAATTATGGAAATAGAGTTAGCAAACAGTTTCTTTCTAACTAAAACACATTCTCTAATGCAATTGCTAATATTAGTTCAGTCATGTCACAGTTATTATAACAGGATATTACAGTCTCCCAAAGTTTACACATATGTTCATTGGGATCAAGGAAGTTATTTCATAACAAGTAAAACAACCCTAAAATTTCCTAGCAGAATCATACCTTAAATGTGTCTGGATTAACACAGCAAATACATACTCACAAGACATTCTAATAGCCCTGATTGGTGTGGCTCAGTGGATTGAGTGCTGACCTGAGAACCAAAGGGTCACTGGTTCGATTCCCAGGCCAGGTGCCCAGCGGGAGGCGTGCAAGAGGCAAACACACATTGATGTTTCTCTCCCTCTTTCTCCCTCATTTCCCCCATCTCTAAAAATAAATAAGTAAAATCTTAAAGAAAAATATATTCTAACATGTACCAACCGACTCAGAAAATCAATCTCCCATAAAAATGAAAAACAAAAAAGAAGACATGAAAGAATTTAAGAAAGAGCAGAAATAATAAGTCAGGAGGAAGGAGCAATGAAAAGAATTTCATAATAATAGCTATTCCAAGGGCTCAAGAGAACAGCCTGTCAAAAACTGATCATTCTATAAATGGTACAATAAATTACATGAACATTCATATAAGTACTACAAATGCTATTCATTAGTTTCTAAGTTTCAGATTGAGTTGAAACATGAAAAACAGTTATAGGTAAAGAACAGAGCTTAAAACATCATACATTTTGACACTATAGAATAGTGTAGCTGAGCAAAGCTGAGTGGTAAAGGGCAGAGAAAGACAGAAGTACAGGAAAATGGCCTAGTTCTATTCCAGGCAGCCAACCGTTATTGTTCAAAATTAATGAAGCAATAAATATGGCTCAAAGTGTAATACTCAGAATTAGTAAGATAACAGAAGAAATATGGTAACAAAATTGAGAAATGTATAAAAAGTTAATTTCCTAATCTTTCAAAATAGCAAATTGAGTCAAGAGGGAAAAGGCATGAATTAGGAAATAGAGGTGTAAGCACATTGTTTACTGAAGAGAGCAATCACTCAAGAGAACTAAGAACAAACTGTGAAGAAGTTATGAGAAGACTGGGGGTGAGGCATGAGAAGGAGAACTTTAGTTTTCATTTTATGTACATTTTTCATACTTCTGATTACCTCCACGTATTATGATTATGTTTATGATTTTTAAAAAATGCCATCTAAAATCCCGTGTTTGTGATTTTAGAAAGTAAATGTGGGCAGGACACAGAAGAAAATTTTTTAAAGTTGCTTAACTTAATATTAAATATAGTAGATTTTCAAAGATACATAGTAGAGAATAGCACCAAACTTTTACTATCTATTAGCTAATATTTATTTAATCATATGGATCCAAATACACATTTTTTAAATAATAAAATCACAAGTTGTTATAACAGGCACAATCACAAAACTGGTTCCTTTAGTTCTGAGGTCTTGCCACCGAGATTCGATTTTAAACCTGTAACACCACATAAAATAAAGCCATGTGCTTACAATACTTGAGTTACTCCTGAATTATAAGATAGGAGCCTTTAGAAGATTAATTATTATGATACAAAAAAGCTATCAAATACTGTAATCAATAACTTTTTTCTTAAATAAACTTTTAAAAATTCCTTCACAATCGAGGAAGCTTTCAGCCCATGTGATTACTGAGCATCACTCAGTTCCCACACTCTCCAGTTCCCCTATTTGGCAGGTGCTAAAGAAAACACAGGCAACACAACAGGCTACGGAGTGAAGAAAAAAAAGTAAGATTAGAAATAATTTCTCTCCCAATTTCTATCCATTAATACTTCCGTAAGCAGCAAGTCAAAAGAAACTCTGTTGTCTGAAATAGTTAACACAATAGCTGTTTGATGTTTCAGAGATAATAATAAATATAAATCAAAACATTTTTAAATTCAAAAAAGCTGCTACATAGGATTGCTTAGTATTCCATGATTTATGATTAAAAACTAAAATTTATACCACGATTCCTTCAGCCTTTCAATTTGTGCCTACACCTGTTTCTTCCCTGAGTCACTAAAATAAGAGAGACGACAGAAGAAAATTCAATAAAGGTATGTGGAATGTATTATAATAATGTGAAGGTAAAACATGAGAAGCAAAAGAAAACATTTATAACTCTTAAAACTACACAATTTACTTTGTAATATTTAGATATATAAGAGTACTTAAGGCATTACAAATGCAAAGAGTGTGCAAATATCCTTAAAGGAAATAATTTCCTCCTAGTCCCATATCTTATTCTGGAAATACACGCCAAATATAATGTCAGCATACCATTCCAGAGAAAAATAGGTGAATGATATTTGTCTTTTAATTTTAGGATTTTAAAAACTTATGAAGAATTTTATTTTTCATGAGGAAGATAATATATGTGTTGACTTTTAGTAGAATGAAAGTCTTTTCCTTTCAAAACAATAATTTGTTTTACTATTCCAGTTTTCATCTCAACCTAAAAAGCTTCAGTATTTCTGTATATCATGGTTTCAATATTCCTGCATACTTTTTGTAGAAACACACACAAAAAGAATTTAGAAGATAACTAAATGCAAAGTCACCTCCATCTGGGTACAAAGAGAAGTAAAGTGAAAGAGTGCTAAAATTTTCCGTTTGAAGCCTTCAGACATTCAGGGAGTAAGATGCTTAGCTTTGTAATCTGGTTTCAATATCACTAGTAACAAATACTACAAGTGACTACAATCAAGTACAAACTGCTCTGTATAGTACTGTAGATGGACAATGGACTTTATAATCAAACAGAAAAGAGTTCAATTCATGGTTCTACTATTTACTCGATGTACAACTTGGACAAGTTATTTAAATCTCTTGAGCCCAAAGAGTAAAAGGGGTCAAACACATGGTGACAGAAGACTTGATTTTTGGATGGTGGGCACATAATGCAATATACAGATGATGTGGCATTGAACCGTACACTTGAGATCTATATAATCTTATTACTGAATGTCACCCCAATAAATTCAATCTTAAAAAATAATAATAACATACACTAGAACGGGCACCAGTACTCTGACATATGCTAGGGGAGTTTAAAATGCTAAATCACATCTCCAACTCTACTAAGCTAATGACTGCTTCATTCCACCTAAACACCAGTTTTATTCCAGCTCTCAGATATTTATCTACTCTTCTTATATAGGCATGTATGAGAAATATGATAATAAAGGAACCTAGCGTAAAATAATGAGACATACAAGATATATATGGTTTACAGACTGAAGTCTCTTATTTTAATTGGAGCTTCAGGTTTTAGTTTTGACCCTGAGGTTACATGTAATCACCGTATCAGACCCTTCTCTTTCTCAAGTATATGCAAGAACAACATAAAATCCCTCTTTGCTGTTTCATGTGCAAGAAAAGGTTTTAAATGCACATAAATTAGGAAAGATTAACACATAAGTGTTAATGATTTTCAGTCAATTCAGAAATGTTAGAGGTTCCAGTTGTGACAACAGTTGAAGTCTAGAAGAAACCAGGATCTTGAATAAGGATGAAACTGAAAGGGAATAGACTAGAAAAATAGGGGTAAAACAGTGGTCAAAGGATAGAAATAGTGGCCACATAGTCAACACTTGCACATGACAGCCAGATGCTTTAAGTAAATCATCTCTTATTCTGTTAACAACCTCATGAGTAGGTATCCTTATCTCCATTCACAGGAGAGCAAACTGAAATTCAGCAAGGTTAAATGATCTATCCAGAGTCGTTCAGGTAGAAAGCAACACAGATGGAACTTAAACTGAAGTCTGTCTGACTCCAAAGAAAGTTAGTTCTTCATCACACCAAGCAGTTTCTGGAACTTACATTTCTGGGACATCAAAATTTTCTTAGGGGGCAGTTATTTTTCCCTTCATTTGTACAGGACAGAACAAAAACTAGGTGTAGAAACAGCTTATGTCCTTGATAAGCACTCCTTCCTTATTTTTTTCCCCTGTTATTCAAATAAATAAAAGAGAGTTTTAAGAAAGAAAAGAAGAAAGGGAGGGAAGGAGAGGAGGAAGGGCATCTTCAGAATGTATGTTTAGTTTGAAATGTCATTTGTCTGCCTGCATCCTTTTTTTCTCTCTTGTTCCTCCTAGCGGCGTGACACAACTCAGGCACAGTCACAGTGGAATGCCCTTCAAATTCCATGGAGAACGAGTAAATAAAAACAAAACTTACAAATTTAACTTCCAAATGTATACAATGTGTTTTACATAATCCCTTTTTAAATTCTAAGAATTCCAGTGATACACTTATTTATGTCTGTTTCTGGACAGTTGTAGACTTACCATGAAACTTGGAGGCTTCAGGATCATTCACATTGATAGCAATTAATTTCCAATCTGTTTCCCCCTGGTCAATAAGAGCCAAAATTCCAAGGATCTTCACACGAATAACCTCTCCACGAGAAAGAACCTTGAAAGAGAAAAGAAATTCAGCATTTGCAAAGCTTTGGAGAAGTTTACTCATATCTCATAGAAATCCATTAAAGATGAAAGGCACTACAGATTGAAATTTAATAAAGGTTTAATAATTTATAATAATGTAAAAACAGTAATAAAGACTTTTATGAAATGCCTTTTAAAATTAAGTATCTTGATCCTTTTTTAGAAATTAAAGTTATTTATAGATCTTGAAATTTAATGTACTGGGCCTAGAAACTCACACTACACAGCAAATAAACCCATGTATATCATTAATTAATATACCCCTGGCTTCTGCTGCTTAGGGTTAAAAAGAGACCTGAGAATCCTTTTACATTGCTTCATAGTACCATTTTTTCAAAACACATTTTTCAGTTACAGTGAAAAGTAAATTTTTAACATATTAGAATATAGCCTTAAGAAGCTAATGAATGACAATTAAAGACTTACTAGTATGTTAAAGATACAGACAAACCAGTCTTCATAAAATGTTTTTAAAAGATTTTAAGAAAAACAAAGAAATAACATGATGTTCAAGCAGATGTTTCATGAGCTAAAATAATTTCAATTCTTTCAAGTTGTCTGTGTCAAATTTATATGCATGCATACTTTCTATATCCTTTTATTTTTTAAAGATTTAGTCAGCTATAGAATTTCACTGGAAATTGGAATTTGAAAACGTGCTTCAGAATACATTCCTTCATTATTCAAAATGCAGCTTTAGCCCTGATTGGTGTGGCTCAGTTGGCTGAGTGTCGTCCCTGAAGAGAAAGTTTGCCAGTTCAATTCCCAGTCAGGGTACATGTCTGGGTGGCGGGCCAGGTCCCTGGTCGGGAAGCACACAGGAGGCAGCCAATCAATGTTTCTCTCACATATCTGTGAGATGTTTCTCTCCCTCTCTTTCTCCTTCCCTTCCCTCTCTCTAAAAATAAATAAAACCTTTAAAAAATGCAGCTTTACATTTGGAAAGCAAGGTATGCACAGAAAATCACTTTTGTGTCTTGAAATTATTTGAAAGAAAATAAATTCAAACCTTAAGCCATAAAGTCAAAATAAATCTTTTTAGAACATTTGCAAAATAAATCTAAAATTTTACTATATATCTGTATGAAGCTGTAATTAGCTTACAGATTAGTGAGGTTGCATAAACTAAACTGAAATCTCATTTTTAGGGGAATATGCACAAATAGATTAACTAGACTCTTACATGTTTAGACTCTATTAGTACCCAGCACCATATCAGACACTATGTATATAAAAAGAAAGGATCCCTGTTCTCAAAGGTTTATAATCTTATTGGGAGACCTACACACCTCATACCAGGAGATCCTTTACAAAACAGAAATGTTCAAAGTTATCATATCACATAATTACCATGAAAGGCTGGCTACACTGTTTAATGTAGCGATAAACTAGGTCACTGGTTCTCAACTACAGGCAATTTTGCCCTCTAGAGGACATCTTGCAATGTCTGGAGATATTTTTTGGTTGTCAAACTGGGGAGGTATTACTAGAACCCAGTGGGATGAGGCCAGCGATGCTGCAGAGGACAGTTCCCTGTAACAATTATCCATCCAAAATGTCAGTTCCAAAGACAAGGAGCCTGCAGTAGATTTTGGTGGCAGGGGTGTCTATCATAATTACTAGGAGTCATACGTATATAGTTTTAAAAAGCACATTCTAACTTGTTTTATTTTTATTCACAACAATTAATTTACTTTGAAATATCAGACATCATAAGAATAAGAGAAGCTTTCAGATTGTTATGGTTACCAGGGCAAGCAGGAAGTATGCCTGGGGATTATCAAGTTTCATCAGAACGATACATGTTCTTTGATCTCATAAGCAACAGAAAGGGATTAGAGAAACCATTGCCTTGTTTTATTGCCTTAACAGACTGGAAAGGGAAGTCTCAGTGAAACCAAAAACTCTGGATTAGATGCTTAGGAACAAATAGCAAAATTCTTATGAACCCCCCACAATTCAATTCATTCTAAATCAATTCAACAAATTAATGGCAAAAATATAATGAAGACACCAAATGAATGATACATAAGCCCTCAAGGAAATTAATGTTAAAAATGTCTCTTATTTGTGATTTTAAGTCTACTATCAACTTCCAGGACTCTGCTCCTTTCCCTTTGCCCATTTACAATGTGGTGTTAAAGGCATTTCCTACCATCATGATCCTTACATATGACTTAAGGACTTTTTGCATATCCAAGGACAAAAGGAGCACAGTTCCAACAAAAACCTTTTATTCATATAGCAATTAAGTACTCACTTCATAACGACTAAATGTTATTTCAGATCTCTAACTAAAGGAATAAACTGATCTGGCTATAAGATGAAACTTCCCAGTTCCATTATAAAACTTTCAGTCTACCCTTCCAGGGAACCTAATGTATAAAGCAGATTCTATTACTAAATCTTTGGGAACCATATAGCTCATCGTGTTTGAAAACTGAGCTGAGATTCTGAAAAAAAGAACATAGATATGTCACAAGGTTTTAGAAAGAATCAGAACAGGGTCATTACTGACTTTTTCTAGCTATTATGAAAAGATTTCAAAAGATAGGATTAAGTCACAAACATGTGGGGTTGAATTCTTCCTCAACCATTCCCAAAGGCGACCTTAGACAAACTACTTCATTCAATATTTTAGGGCTTGGTTAACTCAATAGTAAAATGGAAATCGTAGCAGTTTTTTCTTGAAGTATACAGCAAAGGAAATAACATGCACATGAACTAGAATGTAAGAGGTCTTCCACAGATCCATTAGTATTTTTCCTCTCTGGGCTCTACATGTCCTTAGCTCACACTTGTCCACTGTAAGTGGCCTACAACTACAGTTCTATGCTGATCAGAACTTAAAGAATGGGGTAAAACTTCAATTGGACTCATTAAAACAAGAAAACCATGGAAAGGAAAACTGTTTAAGGCCCGTTATCCTGTGAATAAGGCTTCTATTGTAGTGTAACAAATTATATATTACAAACTTAAAGGCTTAAAATAGTGCACATTATCTCACAGTTTCCATGGGTCAGGAGTCCAGGCACAGCATGGCTAGATTACAGCCTGACATGGCCAAAATCAAGGGGTTGGCCAGGCGGGGCTTCGATCTGAAGGTTCAAAGGAAGAATTCACTTAAATTCAGTTTTTTGCAGGTGTTGGACGGAGGTCCCCATTAAGTTGCTAGATGTCAAGAAGGGATGGCTCTCCGCAACCAGGAGCCAACTGCCTTCCTTTTCAGGCCCCCTTTCCTCCGCCTTCACACGGCAATGGTGTGTCGCTGTTCCTCACACTTGGAACCTCCGACTTCCTCTTCTACCACTACTCCTTACTGTTAGGGCCTATGTAGCTACAATGGGCCTGCATGGGATATCCAGGATCGCCTTCCTACTTTAAAGTAAACTGTGCTAATATCGGGGGAATGATATATTCACGGACTCCAGAGACCAGGGCAGCTGTCCTGGGGGGACCATTTCAGGATTCTGCCCGCCACATCCAGTTGTCCCCCAATAAGCTAAAACGTAAAAGTTATATTCAGGGAAACCTTTAACTATATCAACTGTAACAGAAAATAAACTGGAAAAATGCCCAACAAAATAAAAATGTTTATGTATTTATCCAAGGAGGAAGAAAACATCGGTAAAAAACATTAAGACTTATCAGGATAGCAGGATTGTGAGGGAAGGTTGATGCCTGATTTTGTTTTCACTTATAAAACTAAAATTTTCTTGAAAAATAAATATTGTTGAAGGAAAAAACCTAAAAATAGAAGGAATTTGGGTCAAACATAAAAACAGAGTCAGGTAAAAATAAGAAGTCTGAAAAAAAAATTCAGTGATTATTAGGTTTAAATAGTAGCCAGACCTACAAAATAGTAAGTTCTAAAATAAACAATCAATATTTTACTTACCGAAAATTACAGTATCTAGAAATTCATTTTTTCTTTTAAATTATTTATTATTTCACCATTCTATAGTGTCTTCCCTTCCCTTGGTAGCTCTTGATCCATAGGATTTTCTCCTATACCTTACATTATATGATTAGCATTAAACCAAAAGTATATTAATATGACCATTTATAATCAATACTACATTTCCATAAAAAATGAGTCAATATGTTTTTCAGAAATAATATACCAAACACCTGCTATTTACCAAGTTTCTATATAAAATATAAAAGTATACTTTCAAGATTAATTATATATGCCTTATTAAAAATCATTTATATTTGAAACCTTTAATTTTATTCTGCAGATTTAGCAACTTTGACAGGTTTATTTAAAAACCTCTATATCAATTTTTCTTAGAGTGATTCCTTTGTCAATAACAAAGTGTTACTAAGACAAATCATATTATTGGGTACATAAATTTTCATGTAAGTTATTCTGGTTACCAATCTCATTAATTACATACTGACAAATTTTTACATAAAATTTAGAAATTTTAAATGAAAATAAGGTACTTCTATTTAATCTTTTCACTCATACTTAATATCTGCATAAAAATTTAAATTAATCTGCACTTAATATGAACTGAATGGCCCCAGAGATTACGTCCTCAGAGTAAGAGTTTTCATCAATGCAATGTTAGTTAATTTAGTGACTTTTACTTACCATGATATAGGACATGTGAACGTGACTAATGTATGTAACACAGAGTCTAAACACAGGATGTATTCATTAGAATATATATATCCTTCCTTCCTTCTAATCTATTCATTTTAGATACACTTTACTACACCCCTCTGGGGAGAAAATGTCTGAAAGATAAATTCTTAAACTATAGCTTACATTTGAAAGAACACTAACCATGTGATATATTTCTGCTGGAGAGATAAAGGAAATACAGTCTCACAAACACAGGAACCCTAGCCCCTGTTTGTCCCTATCTGTGTGTAAAACCAGAAATATAAGCTGGATGGGAATCTCTCCTGCATAAAAGGAGTAAGAGAGAGAGAAGGAAAAGAAGAGGGGAGAGAGGAAGAGGATGGCGAGAAGAGTAGGAGGATGGGAAAAAAGAAGTAGAAGAACAGGAGAAGAAGCAAAAGAAGAAAATCTAAGAGGATGATGATGAAGAAGAAGAAAATGAGGAAGAAGAAAAAGAAAAAAAGGAGAGTGACAAAATAAGTTATGGTAAATAAAGTGACAAAGAATCAGAGTAAACTGTTTCCTAAACAATGTAGAAGCCTATAATTGCTTTAATCTTAACTAGAAGAATATGACTCAGTAATAATTCGATGCGGTATTTCTTAAATTAAGCACATGCTATGTACCAGGCACTGAGCGGCATACTGCTATGGTGAGACCTACTCTCACAGAGCTGCTAGCTTATATCTCATAGAGGGGACAGTGAAACAAACAATAGACCACAGTAACTAACAAGAAAGCACACAAGAGCAAGTATTAAGTTGGGGGTGGGGCATAAAGGAGGACTTCCAAGAGGAAGTGGCATTTTAGCTGAGGTCTGAAGGATGAGCAGGGGGAGGTGAAGAGAAAGAAAAAAAGGGGGAAGTAACAGAAGTGAAGGAGGAAGGTTCCATTCTTCTGTAGAGGGACGAGCTTGTGCAAAGGCCTGGACGCAATGGAAAGCAGATGCATTATAGGAAGTGAAGGATTAGTGCAGCTGGAGGGAGCTGTGCAAACCAGGAGTGCTAAGAGAGGAAATCAGAAAAAGCAGCAGAGCCTAGGCACTTTTTAAAAGAGTAAAGCAGGAAAAGAGTCTTAAATGATGGTAGGGAAACCAAGGCTCGGCAAGGAAACTGGTCAGTAGGAGGAATAATTCAATGAGAGAAAATAGGGGACTAGACAAAGCTGGCTGCACTAAGAAAAAAATAAATAGATTTAAAGATTATTAAGAATATAGAATTAATATTTCAGGATTAATGGGATGAAGAAAAGCATAGAATGATCAGGGATGACCCCTCAGTTTCTGGAACTGAAAAGACTGAGAGGAGTTACCAGTAATACGAGAGGAGAAAAAAATGAACTCAGTTTTGGACAGAATGAGTTTGAGATGTGTGGAGACCTCCAAGCACAGAAGCAGCCAGATGAGCACACAGGTCTGAGATGGAGATGTCAATCTGAGAGCAAAACTAGGAATGCTTGGGGTTGGGCTACCAACGGAGTTCCTAAAATAGGGGAAGGAGTTGGACAAGGGACAATCTTCCAGCAAAGCAATCCTTAAGGAATAGGTGGAAGAAAAGAAGCTTGCCAAAGAAACCAAGAAGGAACCAGTATTAGAGAATATCCAAGATATTATAACACAATCAAAGTCAAGTGAAGAGTCTGTCTCAGAAAGAAAGACAAGGCGCCCAGTAAAAAATGATAATATCAATTTAAGTTAGACATGTGGATTAAAAAGGGGCTACACACCAGACCTGACAAGCTCAGGAGGGCCCTACAAACTCAGGGAACTAAAAGTAACCACAAAGAATAGTCTGAAATTAAAACTTCCTAACTAAAATAGTCATGGCGGGTAGTCTTATCCTAGGCTGGAATCTTCCTTGACAAAGGTCCATCTCTACCTTAACTGAGCCTGAGTATTGTCTTTTTGCATCTATAGTAACATACTTTTGGAATGTCCGGGTCATTTCCTTTTTCCCAGACCCCTCACTGCACCAAAGCAGAGACTACAAAACCCCTCATTGTTACTGTCACCATGTTGTTAACTGTCAACTCTCTTATACCCACCAATGTAAAAGTATGTGTCTATCCATTTTACTTTTTGCTCATTCTCAGAGATATCCCTGCTTTGCTTTCTCCTGCCTCCTTAACCTACCACCAAAAGATTCCATGTAACCTTCCTTATGTCTCCTCCTTTGATTCTGGTATAAAATAAGTACAAAACTGCCATTCTCTGGAGAATTTTCTCAATCTGTTAAGATTTTCCTTCCTGGCAATTGTCATCAATTTGACTCAAACTCACAAAAATTCTTACAGGTTTGGATGTTTGTTCCATCACCAGAGAAAATTTATGAAACAGGCCTGTTGGATTTGACTAAAAAAAGAAAAGTTACTAAGGGCCTTCATGAGAACAGTTTCATTGAAATTATGGCAGGATGAAAACTATTTAGAAATAGGATGAAGATTAAGTGGGAAAAACTCTGTTTACAAGCTTTTATTTGAAGGAGAAGAAGAGAGGAGACATGTGGAAGAAAGACAATAAAGAAAGAGACGTTATAAATACAGGACAGCAGAAAGATAGAAAAATACTATCACCCAGAGGCAGGAAGGGACAGGATTTATAGCACAGGTAGAAGCAATGGTCTCAGACAAAAAAAGACAACTCTCACAGTAACAGAGGGAAGGGGAGAAACAATGTTTGCAAGCACAGGTAGTTTGGCAGTGTAAGGGGAAAAGCTGAGGGAGTTCTCATCTGTTGGTTTCTCTGAGCTCAACAAAATTAAAGACAAGACATTCTGCTGGGGTCTGCGAACAAAGTGCAAAGAGTCGAATGTCTATAGAAAATAACATACATTAGTAATAAATGCAGTAGAAAAAAGAACTGACCAAAGACTCATAGAATTCTATGGGTTGCAGCAACCTACGGACCTGTGGGTTTTGCTTTCCCTAGTGGGACGTGGCAATCTGGAAGGAGGCACACACAAAAAGGGACCTGCTGGCTTTCATCCATTTTGCATCTGCTGTTTGGATAATGGGCAAGAAACTGAAGAGAGAACTCAGTAAATTTCTTCTGTAAAATCTCTTAACAGTAAATACTTTAGACTTTGCAGGCTGCATGGTCTCTGCTACAACTCTCAGACAATATGTAAACAAATGGGTGTAGCCAGGTTATTTATAAAAACAGGTGGTGAGCCAGATTTGACCTGCCATTGGGCTATAATTACCAACCCCTAGTTAAGAGAAAAAAGTAAAGATACAAAAAGGGACTGATACCAGAGGGATCTACAGGCTAGAACTATAAAGAGCTGAAGAACTTGTGCCTTCCAAAGAGAACTGAAATTTTATGGCATGAATAAACTAGAACATGCAAGAGTAACACAGTCTATAAAACAAACCTTTGAGCCTATTTCACAAACATCAATAGGATCGTCATCTCCACAGCAATCTGTGCTCTTATCTTTTCGATGGGGATCTTCCCACGTCTAAAAAGGGGTAGGGGAGCAGACAATATAGGTTAATACTCACTATAATGTATTTTAATCTCTGCACATGATCATGAAGTTTTATAGATAACCCTAATCCAAAGAAAAATTCTCAGATATTGTATAGGCTTAAGGCCAACACACCAATACATCTTTAAACATAATAATAATTAAAGGATATTTATAGTATTTCCTCCCCTCTGTCTCTCATTTGTTTGTATAATCACATCTGAAAGTGGGTGGTATTTCCAAACATACTCTTCTTCTAAGTTTAGTCAGTGTCTAAATTCATGTTCACATTGAGGGTTTCAGTTCGGAAGTTCCCACTGTCTGCGTCCCATTTCCAATGACTACCCCAACTGCTGCTTCCTGCACTCGCCGCTTCCTTTGACCAGGGAGCAGCACCGGGCCTGGCTTTCTGTGTTTGTAAATAAATTTCCTATTCTTTAAGTAACTTCTACCAAAAGAAGCCTAGTTTTCCCTTTAAAAACTGAAGAACAAAGTCGTGACTACCAAAGAAAATAAAAATTTATTTTTGTCTCATTTCATTCCATTTAAAAAAGCGTCTAGCTTTTCCATCAACTCTTAAGACTTTGACAAAAATATGAAGATATCAACTCTTTAGGTTACTGAAAAGATTATACCTTGTTGGCTACAAGATATTTGTATACATGGACATTTTTATAAATGAATGGATGGTATAACAAAATTTGTTATCCAGTTTAAATATCCCCTAGGTACAACCTTTCCCAAAAAGCTTCATAATTACCTGAGTCTAAATGGGACCGTAGAAATTCCCTAAAATTATTTTCCTCATATTTATGTTATAAGATGTGCAGAGACTGTGTCATCTCAAAATTATCATTTAGAATTTCACATTATCTAAGCTTAGTTCCTCTAATTTTATATAAAGAATGAAAAATGAACTCTTACTTAAAGAGCTAAACCCTAGATAAAGTCAAACACAAGGAGGGGCAAAAGGTTTATAGTTGTGAGTATGCAAAACACAGTTTAATCTAGTATTAGTATTGATTAATTATTGCATTATTTTCCACATGAAGAACTGTAAACACTTTTGCCCCACCCTACATTTTTCTTCTAATCCTAATAATAGCATATTCAGCAAAAAAACAACCCACTCAGACAGAAAAAAATATATATATATATCAGTAAATCATATCTAACATTTCAATACTCCAAATACTAATAGTACTAATAAAATATAAGAAGAATAAACCTAATTATTAACCTTACATACTGGTTATAGGTGAGAGACACTAAGTCACACACACACACACACACACACACACTCTCTCTCTCTCTCTCTCTCACACACACACCTATATACATGTATACATACATATACCCCATAAGAAATGTAACATTATTAAGCCCATTTTACAGATGAGTAAACAGAAGTACAGTTTAAACTTGCCCAAGCTCATAGTTTCTGAATGGTGGCAAGAGGATTAGAATGCATGCTATTGTTAATCATTATGTCATGATGCCCAAATTTAAGTAATAGTTGAATGGCAATACTTTCATATATAACCTTACTCTATTTCATGGTCTCTTCTTTTAAATACTTTTCTTCCTCTCAGAACCTCCTATTTCCTGTGGAGCTGTCTTCTTCCCTGCTGCTCCCCTCACTGTTTCTTGTTCTCTGCTACCTGTCACCAGGCATCCACTCATGCAGTACATATTCACTGGGTGCCTACTCGGGGCCAGGAGTTCAGAGCAGAGATACACAGGGCAGAGGCAATACCCTGAAGAATGTCATGTTAATAAAAGGTTTAACATTTGTCACAAATGCTATAAAGTTAATTTTAATGGCTAGAGATACCTAGGTGGGACTGAAGATAATTGGAATCAGAAAACCTAGAAGCAGAATCTGAAAACATCAGAGAAGTTCCTCCTTCCTAAAGCAGGTAGGAGTATATATTATTACAGCTTCTTTCGTAAACAATTTGGGAATAGCTAATAAAGTAAAATTGGTGTGTGACTCACAGGTATAGACAAAGGAGTATATATTTATATATACTATGTATATAGAAAAATTTTAGAATGGACCCAAGAAAAGCATAAAAAGATAAAATAAAAGCAACCTATCAACAGGAATATAAATAATGTTAAAATCATAGAAAGGATGGCTATAAAGCTATAAAAATAAATAAGTCAGTTCACAGATTATTGAGCAAGCCTAATACAAACCTTACTCATTCTTGTGCAGGTGTTTGAGAACATTACATTACAATCCATAAATATTAACCAATACATTTGTAATCACTAGGCTCTGGTCCTTAAGTCTTTAACCTGTACAGAGCTATACACATGGGTGCTTCTTGAAAACGACTTCCTGATTAATCAGGATTCTGGTCAGCAAGTCAAAGGAAGGAAGAGCTCTTCAGTCACTACCTGTACTTTACCAGCTTCAATTTGGAGCAAAAGCCTCTACCAGTGGTCTCACGATTAGCAGCTAATACCAGTAGCAACACTGTCATCATCATTGAGATAATATGATTGAGAACTCACTGTGGGGTTAAACACTTGGCTTTGATCATCTCATTCAATATTCACAATAACCTTGGCGGGTAGGTGGTACGACAGACAGAGGTGAGCATACAGATCTAGAGAGGTTTAGTCACTGAGCCCCAGAGGTTATATAATATAGCAACTATATATACTAAGTGGTACTAAATGGACAAGGAACCAAATTTATAATAAAATGGGGTCAAGGAACCAAATTTATAATAAAATTCAAAATAATACACACAGCAATATTATATTAAAACTGAAGAAATCTTGAATTTAGTGATTCTAGTCCTTTAACATTATCCAGATGTTTTTTAATCTAAACATTCACTCAGTAAGATTAGAGGAAGAAAAACATGATTTTTGCCCAGGCCAAACTCGAACTCTGAGGAAGGCATTATTGCTAGTGCGGGAGAAGTTATTAACGTTAAGCAGTCTAGACAGCTGAAGGTCTGAAATAATGATGGCACAGTGATGAATCACAGGCTAAGTGGAGAGACTGCTCCTTAAACAGTATTCTGCTGCTTAAATGTTCTTGCAAACATGGTTGGCTTGGTAACTGCTCTGAACAAATTCATGCTGTTACAAGACAAATCCTAAGAGAGCGGCAAAACCCAAACACATCTATGAAACAAAATGCAGCTCACACAATGCGTTCATTAGTTTATTCATTCCACAAATATTGAATGACTACCTACTCTGTGCCAGGCACTAAGCTGGGCGGTTGGAAGACATCCCTGAACAAAACAGAGAATCCCTGTCCTCACGTAGTCTGCATTCTGGCTGGAAGAATGAACAATAAATATAAATAGCTAAATTACATAGCATGTTAGAAGTTGGTAGGTGCTATGAAAAAGGGAAAAAGTAAAGCATGGAAGGCGGAATGGGAGTACAGGAGGCAGGATTAAAGGTGTAAACGGCAGGCACGGTGAAGAAGGTGACCCCTGAGCAAATGTATGGAGGAGGCCCCATGCATCCTGGGGAAAGAGCGTTCCAGCTGGAGGACAAGTGGATGTGGAGGCCCGAGGCCGGGGCGGGCCTGGAGTGTCAGAGGAACAAGGAGATGGCCACTGTTGGCAGTGAGGGAGCAGGGGCAGGAGGACGATGGGGTGCGGGGGGTGGGCGTTGGAGATAAGATGGAAAATGTAAATGGACCAGGGGCTCGCTTCCATTTTAACAGGTTCATTCTGTCTTAATAAGTACAGAGAGGCAAGCTATCCTTTCACATAAACAACTGGCCTAATTTCTACTTTTTATAAACATTAATCAATTTAGTTGTTTTGTTTTGGTTTTGGTTTTTTTGGGTAAATAACTCCTATGCAATCTGTAATGTATTCATTTGCTGAAAACTGACACACATTCACACACACACACACACACACACACATGCACACAAGATCAGTTTGGGTATAAAAACACAGTAAAGATATCTGGTTAAAAATGGCAGAGTTTTTGTTTTGTAATTTCTTTCTTCCATCATATTCCTGTATGAGTGAAATCATAGAGGTTTTGTCCTTTTCTGTCTGAGGTATTTCATTTATCATAATACCTTCAAGATTTTGTTGCAAATGGCAATACTTCATTTTTTTTTAACTAAGTAGTATTTAGTTGTGTGTGTGTGTGTGTGTGTGTGTGTGTGTACACACACACTATTTTTTATCTATCCATACATCAATGAACACTTAGGTTGCTTCCATACCTTAGCTACTGTAAATGTTGCAATGAACAGAGGGGTGCATGGATCTTTCCAAATTAGTATTTTCATATTCTTGGCATACTACCCAGAAGAGGAATAACTGGATCATAGGGCAGTTCTAGTCTTAATTTTTTTTTGAGGAACCCCCACAGTGTTTTCCATAGACTGGGCACCAATTTACATTCCCACCAACAGTGTGCGAGGGTTCCCTTTCTCCATACCCTCTCCAGCATTTGTTATTTCTTGTCATTTTGATAATAGTCAATCTAGCAGGTATGAGGTAACATCTCCTTGTAGTTACCAGATGGGAATAGGGGTAAAGGGGGCCAAATGTATGTTAACACACAGCACCTAGACTTTTGGCAGTGAGCACAACTAGACTTTTGGCAGTGCAAATAGATACTGAATTACAATGTTGTACACTGGAAACTTTTATAATGTTATTAACCAATGTTATCTCAAAAAAAAAATAGAATAAAATTGCCAATATAAATAAATGGGTAGAGAGAATACAGGTCTATTTCCTCTTCTTCACTTCCATTCTAGCCACTCTGGCCTCCTTTCCGTTCTTCAAACAGGCTGGGCCTACTTCTACGTGGGACTTTTATACTTGCTGTTTCTTGCTGAATGCCCCTAGACGTCCATACCACCTGTTCCCTCTCTTTCTTCAGGCCTTGGCTCAAATAACACCTTCTCCCTACTTAAACTGCAACAATCCCAACACACCCTAGCCCCGTTTCCTACTTCATTTTTTTCTAACACTCCACCATCGGATGGAGTACCTTTTTAAAATTATTTTTGTCTGTCTCTGCCCAGGATAAAAGTCTTAAGAGAATTTTTGTCACTTTTATCACTATTTATTCTTTAGTACTTAGAACATTACTTGGCAAACATCAGACACTCAACATACACGTACTGAATGAATGAACAGCTCTGTGACAAGGGAAAGATTATGCAGGGTTGAAAAGCCATGTTAAGAGTGTTTTATTGTATCCTTTTAGCAACAAGAAACCATTAAAACATTCTCATATATGCATAACATTAGCAAATTTATTTTTTTAAAATGTTACTTTAGATGCTGCATGGAGTGTGAAATTTTGGTAGGCAACAGTGAATACAGGGTGCCTTATGAGATTACGGCAGCCCAATTCTGTTGTAATTAAGTAGGAACTACTATACCTAACACACTAATATAACAGCAAATAAAAGCATCTTGAAATTTCAAACATATCCAAAGAAGTATAAAAATTCTTCAGTCCTTTAAATAAACAAACTACAAAAGCTTAGAATTAGTAGGTGAGTGAGTAGCACCTATTATGCTCCATTGTTACCACTGGTTTAGCTGTTAATCACCCCCATGAGACTCTAAGTTCCTTTAGAAAAAAGACCATATAATAACAAAAGTACAAGTAGTAACAATAATGTGCTTGCCACCCATTGGGCACTATTCTAAGAAGAGGCTACAATAGCTCATTTAACCTCAACACAACCATATGCAGTAGGTACTTCATTATCTCTACTTTACAGATGAAGAAAGTGAAGCAATGAAGGGCAAAGTAACTTGGCCAAGGTTACTTTACTAGTAAGTAGCAATCTAATTCCAAAACCCATCACTTCGTCACTTAATATGTGGACAGTATTCCCTAAGCTTAATAATTTTATTTTACCCCTTCACCAGGTCAAACAGAATGTCTACTTAGGCACCTGGGGTGCAGAAAATCTGCATTCATAGTTTTAACAGACATTCTTATTCTTAGTAGGTGACTTTAGGAGTGTTTATTTAACAAAGAATGTTATCTGCGTGGGTGGTCTAACTGCATCAAAGGCAGTCTGACTCTTTAGAAAACAATTTTCCTTTTTCTTTTCCTGTGAATGTTTATTCTACGTGGGCAGCTGTGTTTCTGCGTTGGATAAAGCAAGTCCCCTTCCCTCAGATATTTCCCCCAAAGCATCCTGGAACTTCATGCAGAGGACGATTTAACTTTGGGTGGTGGGCACACAATGCAATATGAACTGAAAGATCATATATCACAGAAATGCACACCTGAAACCCATATGACCGTAGTGATCAATGCCACCCAATAATTTAATTAATTAAATAAAAATACAAAAATTAAATATCCAGATTAATGAACGGTCTAATGGTTTTTACAACCATAAGGAAACATGCTTCTCTATGTCCCCAAAACTTAGCTAATTGATTCTGCATATTCTGAATTTTACTCACTAAATAATCTGGAAATAGTTATCAGTTCCCAGAAGTGAGAAAGAGAAGAAAACAAGAAGGGACAAGAAAGAAGGAAAAGTAATAGTGTCATTCTCCAATAGGAATGCTGCTTTACTCTTACTTAGTCCTTGCTTTCACTGTTTCCCACTAAAATTACAAATTCATAATAGGGAATAATTGTTGCCTAACTCAATTCATGATGAGTTCTGGAAAAAAGTTAATAATTAAAAAAATGCACCTGTTAGAATTTTAAAACTAAAATTCATGCTACTATATGACTATATAAAACCATTACTTGTCATATTCAAAGAAATTACTGCAGATAAAGCAGAAAAACCATTTTTCACTGAATGTTAATAGCCAAGCCCAGAAAAAGAAAAGTGTTCAAAATGCCAAATGTGAGTGTTCTCTATACCTAACTCCAAGAACTAGAGTATAGATAGAAATACAGTGTTAAAAAAATTTATTGACACAATAAAACTCCACATTAGAAAAATTTAAATGTACAAATCTCTCAAACTGAAGTCTTCAGTACCAATTTAAATTCAAGTAGTTCACAGGATTTACAAGGCAATTTTTTTCAGGAGACAGAAAAGTTTTACCATTACAACAAAAATGTTACCTGAGGGAGGGCACCGTAATTCCATATATAACCCTTGTGAGGAAAGATATTCGCCACATAGCGTAGCTTGCCATCCTTTATGTCTTGTTTAATGGGATTCAATGGCTCCTTCGTGGCAATCTAAGCAGGTCATGGAGAAAAGTGAGTAGGAGGATGAGAAATGATTAATCCTGTCTTTAAATAGTATTTTTAAGATATGCTATTATCAGACTGTATAGTCATATTCCAACTTATTGATCAAAGGTACTTTAAAATAAATTAAGCCAGTTCTTATTTCTAATTTAGAGTATTGTGTAAGATTAACCACCTGGAAAGGAAATATCAGATTAAATGTTTAAGCCCTCTATTATTTATGCACTCATTATTTCTAACACAAATAAAATAATTGAAATGGCAAGAGAATAAAGATTAATCAGTTTGCTTTTTGTTACTATTCTCAGACTTTTTACCATCAATCTTACAACAAAGTTAACGCAAAGATTTTCATCAAGTGATTTCATATCCAAGTTACTTTCCTACCAAACATATCCAAATTGCCATGCAAAAAGGGAAAAAAGCCCCTATTGTATAAAGTGAACAAAAATAACTGATGCCATGTTTGAATAAATAAGCACTGCTTAAGTTAGGCGAAGGCAGAGAGCAGCCAGAATGATGAAACATTATAGTTGAAGCAAGACCAACATTTTTCTATTAAAATATTAACAAAAAAAATGCTACCAGGACCTGGTAAAATTACTGACAATTCTCCAAATAGAAATTCTGAAAAATATACATGTATATAACAGCCTTTAATTTAAATACTTGAGATGATACTTGCCATCAAATCCAAAGTTGTAGAAGGCTTAAATAACTAAAAAAATAAGTGCCATAAATTAAATTTCACTCAGAACTATAATGGATCTTACCTAAATAAAGATGGAACAATAACATTCTGAAAAGCAAGAGAAGCTCTTGATAGATTCATGTCTCAAGGAAAAGATTTTTTTTAAAAGCTAATCAGTTGAACAGAAGATGCTCTTAGATAGTGCTCATAAATCAAGAGTTGGCCAGGAAAATGCTTTCATTCACAGGAGAAAAAAAATCTAAAGAAAAATTAAGTTCTTAGAAACTGAAATTGCCCTATGCCCCAAATAAATAAGTTTCAGCTGTATCTATGAACAAAATATGAGGAGGGACCTCCAATAACCCCTGAACTTTATTTATTAAAAATTGTGTATTTATTCTTACATATTTAAACTTCCGTCACCTTCAGAGTGCTCTCCATTTGATGCAATACACTTATTGAGACATTTTCCCCCACTGCTCAAAGCAGTTTTTGAACTCCTCAATTTTTATGCCTTTTAGTGCTTCTGCCATTTTTTGTTTCACCTCTTCCACATCGGCAAAACATTTCCCTTTAAGGACTTTTTGCATCAGGGGAAACAAAAGTCTGTTGGGGCAAAATCGAGTGAATAGGGAAGAGTGGGGCACGGGGGTCAAGATGTTTTTGGTCAAAAACTGCTGAACACTCAGCACAGTGTAGGTAGGTGTGCTGGTAAATCACCCATCACAAAATGGGCAAACACACTGGAAGAGTCTTAAAAAAAAATTAACTGAAACAGAACACAGCCTCTCACAACAATGCCAGCTGGTACACTGATACAGATGGGTTCCTAGAACACTCCTCTTGTAGTGGAAGCCTGTACGATAAGGGGCCTGCCCTCCAGAAGATAATTCTGGTTTTTTGGGGGGTCTCCCCTCCTACATCTCAGAATCCATTTAAGTAAATCTTGAAAATATCTGTCACTTTCAAAAACAGAGGAGTCAAGAAAAATTAAGTATGTATATAATAAACTAGAGAAGCAAAAATGGAAAACATTGTCCTTGAAGTATAAATTCAGCTTTGAATAATATTGTGCTTTTTGAAATTAAATTCAAAATAAGTTTACAAGAATGTTTTCAATTATTTTCATTATAAACTCATTTGTCACCATCCCAAGTTCAAAATATTATGGCATACTACTTGAAACAAAGTTTCTGTATCATGATTACCATTTCCATTTGATGTTAATAGAATATATCCATACCTCCATCTTAGCATTTGTCCACCGAGGTACTTCAACAACCATATTAAACAAATTCTGCAGTTAAAAAAAAGAGAGAGACAGAAAATCTAATTTTAATTTTTGTTAACCTCTTCTTTATTTTCTCACTTTTCTCCAGTGCAAGAACGTTTTAGTTTCTTCCCACAAAAAAAAAAAAAAAAAAATGTTTATAGTCAGCATCAAATATCTGCCTATGCCTAAAATTTATTCTAAACAATTAGAGAAGTTGTCTATAAAGCACGGCAGAATTTAAGCCATCATGCCACGTGACCACTACTGCACAATGTTGGAAGTTACTACATTTCTGGAAATACCTTGCAGGGTAGTAACAGAACTAGAATTGAGTCAGAAAACGTTTTTCTTATTTTGTATTTTCAAATTAAAACAGGCAAGACCGGGTCTACCATGTAAGCTGCATGTTTCACTTTCCACTTTGTAAAATATGAGTGAAAATCACTGTCCTACTCACCACACAAGGTTGTTATGAAGATCACTTATATAATTTAAATAAAAATACATAGAAAATTACAAAGTAAAATATTCTGAGAATTATAAAAACAGTATTTAAATCTAAGTTATGTTAACAATGTAAAATTAAGAATATTAGTATAGGTAGGTAGTTATAAAGCTTACATGAATTAGACACACCTTTCTATCTTGTTATCTCTGGTTCCCTAAAGTTACAAAAGGACCATAGCTTCTTTTTAATCATTTCTGAACTTTGCAGAGTGCCTAAAACAAAGGAGATTCTGGGTCAATGGTGGGTAAAAATAATTTCCTAGAGTGTATATTTTCCTACAGTTTTGGACTTACAAAGAGAAAGTCTTAAGGTGAAAGTTGACTTGCATGCCATTTTGATATCAGTAACTAACAACTTATCATGGCAAAGCAATGGTTTAAAACAGTCCTACTCAAGTGTGATCATGAACCAGAACTAATCTGCGAGTTGTTGGTTCATTTAGAAACAGTTATAGCAATTTTACGGAGTAATCTTTATTTCTGCTGAACCTAATAATATCAATTTGGAATGTAAATTATACTTTCCTAATAATTCACTTTGATTGCATTTTTTTAAAGTTATCAGTTCACAACAAATTAGAATTAAACCCCCCCCCCCACCCCCAGAGTCTAGGCTTTCACGATCATTTGAGAAGCAGGAATTATATATACCTATTCCCAATCATGCCACACATGAAAATTACCTGAGGAGCCTTGACCAATTACAAAGAAAAGAATGGATTCCTAGAGCCCCACTTCTCACATATTCTAATTCAATTGGGGTTTTTTCCCAGAGGGGGAGGGTGAAAGGAGAGCCAGGGCATTGTTTATTTTTAAAAGCTCTCCAAGCAATTTTAATACAGAGCCAGAGTTGAGAACCTCTACTTTAAAACATTGCTAAACAACAATCTGGGGCTTTCTTAGTAAAACATGAATGTTGATTAATTCAAAGAATGTCGCTTACATAATTAAATGTAGGTATACATTGAGCCACAAAAGTACTGATGGTTTTTAGGTTTTTCTGCATACGGCTAAAGTTGACCTATGACTAAACCACATACTCTTAATGAGCTAAAGAACAAAGCCAAAAATGAGTTTTCAACAACTGCTTCTGGGGAGCACGTCTCTTACCTATCCTAGCAACCTTATATACAGTCCTGCTGTTATGTTCCATTTCCTATGCTCTTTCATGAGGTACCCCAGCACCTGTTTAAATATGTCTGAAGTAGCTGTTAAAAAAAAATGGCAGATGTTCACACAATGTATTCATCCCTGAAAGCCTGGCTCTAAGAGAACAATGTATGCAGATGCATACTCAGAAGTGACAGAGAAGACCATGCTAGTGACAATTATTTTACACAGTGACACCTACCAAAACCATTCACAGAGACTTGAATTAGGGCAAAAGAACTATAGATGAGGTTTTAATTTTTAGCCTGCAAGCCACCCGCACCCTCACCATTTTGTTCCTGACCACTAAGAGCATATTACCAGCCTTCTTTCATTCTCTTCAGCTAAAATGTGTATGACCTGTAATTTTATAAAGCCCATGTTATTCTGGTTATCCTAACATTAGTGTTAATTATAAAGCAATAATGGTCTGCTGAATTTTATCAGACAATCACAAAGATGTAAGGTGGCAGACACATTTCAATTCAGAAAGTTGAGTACAAGCCAGGGACATTTTCCTTCTCCTTCAGTTCTTTTCTATCTCTCCATTTTCCCTTTATTTTTATTGTAGAAATCAAACAGGAAAACTAGTAAGATATGAAAAAGCAGTCAGTAAATTTTATATACTTGGGGGAAAAAAATGAAAGGAAGTCACCCTTTTTTCCTTCTTCTAACTTAAAACTGACACTAAAAACAAAGGCAATAAAAGCAAAAATAAACACTGAGAATACATCAAACTAAAAAACTTCTGCATAGCAAAGAAAAAATAAACGAAATTAAAAGACAATCTATGGAATGGGAGAAGATATTTGCAAATCATAAATCTGATAAGGCGTTCATATCCAAAAGACATAGAAAACTGATATAATTCAAGAGAAAAAAAAAAGCAAAGAATCCTGATTAACAAATGGACAGAACAGACAGTTTTCTGAAGTAGACATACAGAGGCCAACAGGGTACCTGAAAAGGTGCTCACCAACACTAATCATCGAGGAAATGCAAATCAAAACATAATGATGTGGAGAAAAGGGAACCCCCTTGTGCACTGCTGGTTGGAATGTAAATTGGTGCAGCTACTATGGAAAACAGTATGGAGGTTTCTCAATAAATCAAAAAGAGAACTACAATATGATCAAGCAATTCCACTTCAGGGTATTTATTCAAAGAAAAATACTACTTGTAAAGGTATAGGCACCTACATGTTCACTGCAGCATTATTTACAAGAGCCAAGATATAGAAACAACCTAAATGTCCACCAATGAATGAATAGATAACAAAGATGTGGTACAATGCACAATGGAATATTACTCAACCAGGATAAAGAAGGAAATCCTGCCATTTGCAACAACATGGATGGACCTTTAGGGCATCATGCTCCTGAAATAAGCCAGACAGAGAAAGGCAAACACTGCATGGTAACTGCATGGTATCACTTATACGTGGAAACTTCTTAAAAAAGAGCCAGACTCATAGAGACAGAGAGTAGGATGGTGGGTGCCAGGGGTCAGAGGTGGGAGAAATGGAAGAGAAGCTTAAAAAATAAAAAATTCAAGTCACACTGTCTCTGACATATAAATTGTGTTCTAAAAATTAAATTTTCAGTTAGCTGTGTGAAGTCAGAATAATACATTTTCCTCACTGAAACAACAGTTCCCAGGTTAATACACAAAGTCTCTAGGAACCTGTACAATCATTAAGCCCCTGAATGACTATTCACCCAAGGGCGGTGTTTATCACACTTCTGTGCATACAGGTGCCCTGGGAGTCCAGTGGAAACATGCAGCCTACGCAGCCCCCATCAAGCAGAGACTCTAATCTAGTAGGTAAGAAAAGGCACCAGGAATCTAAAATTTTCACAAGTTCCCTACGTGGTTTCACTTTAGATGGTGTAAGGACCATTTTCCAGTTGAGAAAAATATTATATAAAGTCGACAGCAGGCAAAGGTGGAAGGAATTAAACAGATCCCACAGCTATGTTTGGAAGTGGATGAAAAGGCTGAGGTCGTAAGTTTCAAATGGAGAAGAGAATGGACAGAAATAAGTTTGGGAGGGGAAAGGAAGGCTGAGGCAGGCCACAGAGAAGCTGCCTCAGGGATGGGCAAGATAAAAAGGCAGTGATTGACAGCAAGACGTGGGATGACAGGTGTCAATCAAATGTTATGTTCCTAAGTCAAGAAATATTAAAGGTTTGACAGTCACATGTTTAAAAGATCTATTTAGAACATATTTATTTTAGCATATAGTTGGTATAACTATTTTTTTTTTAATATCCCAGGATTCTAAAACAGTCTTCAAAACATCTTTTCCCGTGCAATAAAAAGATGACAAACTGATCAGTTTTCATAAGTACCTTTACTTTAGATGATCTAGCATGATAAATAGCTTGCTACTAAAATCTGGGTTCATTTTCCGATTCACTCTGGTTTTCACTTATATTGGGTTGGCCAAAAAGTTCATTTAGTTTTTTTTCCGGATGATGGCTGTAGTAGTGCTTAGTTGTCTTTAACTTCATTCAAAACATTTTTGTTAGATTCTATTGTGACAACTATCACATTCGTGTGCATTTTAAAAAATTATCAAAATTGGTAAATTTTTGTGCAGCCATTTTAATATTGAAGACGGAAGAAAATATGCAACATTTTTGGCATATTATGCTTCATTATTTCAAAAAAGGTAAAAATGCAACTGAAACACAAAAAAAGATCTATTCAGTGTTTGGAGAAGATGTCCAAAGTGGTTTGCAAAGCTTCTTGATACTATTGGCATTTTGGCTAAATAACCCTTTGCTGGGGCGCTGTCTTATGCACTAGAAGCCAAAAGTGGGAGAAAGCCAACGTACTGAAAATGTCCAAATCAATAAAGTTAATAGTGAAAATGACAGATGTGTCTTTTATTTTATAGAAAAAAACTAAACACACTTTTTGGCCAACCAAATAAAATGAAATGGCACCTAGAATAGTCAGACTAATAAACTAAAAGTAGAATAGTAGTTACCAGGAGCGGGGCAGAGGTGGGAATGCAGAGTTACTGCTTCACATGTGAGTTTCAGGTTAGGAAGATAAAGTGCTGGTGATGGCCGCACGACATGCAAAAGTACTGACCACCACTGAACGGCACACTTAAAACAGTGTGTGATAAATAAATGGTAAATTTTGTTTTATATATTTTACTACAAGAAAAAACAGTGAAATGGTAATACCATCACTAGTGCCTTAAAGTGATACTAGAAGAACAATATCAGACTGCACACAAAAGTCCTACAGGGGAAAATTCAGAAGCACTTTACAAATGTAAACTATCATCAAGGTCTTTAATAGACAACATAAATGATTCACAAAAACAAAAACCTTGAGATATACCTCAGATTCATCATTTCGTGCTCTCTTTGTAGGAATGCCATTTTCCTATAAAAGAAAAGATGGTATTTATGATTGTAATATTTCATGAAAATACAGCTGTACTGTAAAGCCATGAAAATAAGCCTATTGCATAAATATCCCACTACAGAGGCTGCGAGAAACCTGATGCAAAAGAGCACCTACCAAAGGCCCTGTCTGTTTTTCTCCCAGTATTTGCACCCCCAAGTGCATAAGCATCGGTGTTTCATAAAACAAACGATCAGAAAAGCTAAGTCTCTTTCCAGTATATTTCCCTAGTTTTTATAAAATAAGCAAAAGCTCTGTTCAGTCTTTAAGGAAAGATTGGCAGTTTCCAGTGACTGCGCTTAAAACAGTCATTTCATTATTGAAATGAAACCCCAGGGAGCATGACTAACAAGCCATGAAGGTACTCGGCTGCACCTCCTGCCTCCGGATCCCACCAAGGTGTGATTACCATGTCTCCATCATGCACTTCTAAATTAAAACAGACTATGTGCTGGGTTGGAAAGAAAAACCACACCATTCAGAAATGCTCACACATTATACATAACTGTTACACACCAAAGTGACTAATGAAGAGAACAAAACAAACAGAAAAATTATTAAAAGTTTGCTGTGAAATATTATTACTGTTCCTAAAATACTCCAAGTATAAGATGCAATAGTTCTAACTAATCATTACAGCCGAGAGCCAGGAAAACCTGTTTACACAACCTCCGTGTATACCAATTTCCACATGCCCAGAATTCACTGGCATGTCCTATTATATTCTGCCCTACCCTATCATCAATTTCGCCTAACCCTAAGTTTCATATTCCCCAAAACCCATCCTCCTTAGGCAGAATATTATGCCTGCTAATTTCCAGCCCACCCTTTGTTCTACACCTCCACCCCTACCACCCAGGTTTCCCAATAACATTATTTTTTTATTATTTTTGTTACTAGGTACACAGATGTTGTCATGGTACACCCCATGTGAACGAGCACCCCACCAATCACTCATGAAGCTGTTCTGGTTGTATAACACTTAACATTATCTGACTGACTTGTTTCTTTTCTGGTTCTGTCTCCTCCAACTGAGTGATAACTATGTCTATCTTATTCACCACTACAAACCTAGTGCCTAGAATACTGTCCATAATAGGTATGCAATGATTACTGAATTATTAAATTAACGAATAAATGAATAAGTGAATGCAGGCATTTTTGTCTGAAAGCAAGGAAAGACATTGGTAAACATGAGATATTTAGGTTGGATAGTTCACTTACCCAAATAAAACAAACCCCAACACATAGATACAAGGATATATGGATGGACACACAAACACACCCACACGCACTCATACACTTACAGAGATACACACAGTCAAATGAAGCTCTTTCTGCTCTCTCTTTGGTTTCTTTCTCCAGATTATATGACCCTTTATTCTGTAGCTGGACACTTCTTAGAAGTAATGAGCTGGAAGGATTACACAAGGGCACTTAGGAGTACGAGCTACGGCCTTAGGGGTCCGAAGTTCAAATCCCACCTCAGCAACAAACTAGATTTGTGACTATGGGAAAGGTACTTAACCTCATTAACACTATAAGGGTAATAGTAGCCCTCGCCTTACTGAGATAATTCAAGGCAAGCACAGAGCACACTGCTTTGCTAAGCACTATGAGCACTCAATAAATCTTTGCTATTATTCTCCTTATTGCCATTACTGACAGTCCAGTCCTCTGATGGGCTAAAGCGCAGCACAAATCCCACGTAGGCATTCCACAGCCTTACTGTGAGGCCTTATATTCAGACTCCATAGCAAGACCAAGGTCAAACCACTCTTGCGTCTGAAGCAACTTCCCACTTCTTCACTGGCCTCTGCCCTACACTGACCCAGAAAACCCAACCCCATTAACCAGCCCCATCTGATCTCGACCTGGAATGTGGTCCTATTTATTTACTCAAGAATTGTGCTCCTTTGTGAATTTGTTAATGAAATAAACCAATTGCCTACTTGAATTTTAAGGAAGGAATTCCCACATGGTGAGGATAACTAACATCCACCACCGACCTGCCACCTCACCAGCTGGACGAGCGCTCCCAGGATTCTGAGCGCCTCCCCAGTCGACTGTCAGCAGCGGGGCTCCCACTCCCACTTGACTTACGTTTTTCCCTCGCTCACATCTGCCAAGTAGTTTTAGGTTCTAAGACAACGCCTATTCAAAGACTACCATTTTTCCAACTTTATTTTTCCAGCATCTGCTTCGTACAGTGGTTAAAGACCATGAGCTCCGTGATCAGATATGCTAGTTTCAAACCTGGCTCTGGAAGTTACCAGCTGTTAGATCTTAGGTCAAAAAAATGCCTTCAGCTTCAGTGTCCTAAAAGATAATAGTAGCTCATGAGGATTAAATAAAATGTCATATGTTCACATGGTGGCTAGCAAATACAAAAAAAATCTCCACAAATGTTAACTCTCTTATTATTATTATTATTAAAAATAAGCCTGTTGTTAACCCCTTAAGTTCTTAACCTTTAATCTTTATTTCCAACCAGATTCTAAGCTTTATGGTCCACTAACATGCCTTTCTCCCAAGTCTTCCACACAGAATCCTATTCTCATACAAATTCTAATTCATAAAGGAAGTTTACAGTCCTGTTGTAGTAACTCCTTATCCTTCTTGACTTGTGACTGCATTTTCTTCTTTCAAGATGCTTCTGAAAAGCATTTTGTGTTAATACTAGCTGTATTTTCCTCCCCAAAAGAAGTTAAAATTATACCTCTATAGACTCCACCTTCAGAGGAATATCATGAAAGGGTGAAATATAGTGACCAGCTTCATTCTCTGAAAAGAAAATAAAACAAAAGCAATTAAAACAATGAACTTTCCCGTTCTTTAGAGCAACTATGCCTTTATCCACTTTAAACTTTAAAAAGTTTTTAAAAGTATTTTCAAAATTAACTTTAACTCCCAGTTTAAAATTTAATTCATCTTTTAAAACTTGTTCCAATATAATCACCCACACAGAAACACACACACAAAACAAACAACAAATAAACCATATTTAGGTTGCTGAAATCAATACTTATCCCTGTGACTTAAACATTCAAAGAAGAAAATGTCTAAAATAGACTAAACCCTCAAATACGAAAAATCTCATTTTGAAAAGTCTTTACTAAGTGAACTGGATTAAAATTAATGTCAATTTCCCTATGAGAAACTGAACAACAAAAATTCTCAATTTCTGCCTACAATCCATGTAAACAAAGGTCTAAAGATCCTACCCAAATAAACAAATAATTCATTTCCACTCAAAGTGATAATGATGCTAACTGTTGTTTAAGGAAAAAACCTTAATACCAGAAACTGTCTTCATTACATAATGAAATGTATATTTTAAATACTTTTAAAAGTATATATTATTTAAATGAAATACAATAACACAATAGGCATTTTTATTAAAATGTATTTGTTTCCAAAAGCTGGGTTTAATATAGCCACAGAAATTTTTCAGTTTATAATTTCCAGCCACCTCTTTGGCATAATTTTCAAATTTAGACTTTAAAAATATTTTAACACAATAGGAAAAGGACTGTCTGACACCCTAATATCCATGAGTACACTCAGTAACAAAATCTTGGTTTCTACATACTATTCTCCAATAAAAAAAAAAAACTAGGGCTTCCTGAAGAGGAGACTGATTCTAAGGCTGGGGCAAAGAAAACACCAGATGAGCCTGAAGCACAAGATGCTGCAGTACCGGAAATCAACCAAGTGTTCAAAACACAAAAGGTTGGACGTATACCAAAGATAAACCGAAGCCCACCTGAAAGAGCTCCCAAAGGCCAGAGCGGAACAATCTAAGCAACAAAATAAATAATGGAGTATTGGATGAGAAACCAAAGCATAAAAGAAATCTACATCAATCCACACTGATACAAACAAATTTATCTAAAGAAATGAGAAGAGACATAGCTTCCTTACAGAAAAACTCCTAACAATATACGCAGATGCTCCCCTCTCCAAAAAGTAAAGCTAACCCTGCTCCTCCCGCGTGGCCCCCGGTGTGACTGGATTCAGTGACTGGCTTCCAAAGAACAGAATATGGAAAGGGAAAAAACGTTACAGTGGAGAAACCTGACAAACAGTAACCTCAACCAAGTGACCAAGGTTACCACCGCCAGTGATGTCGTGTGGGCAGCATGTGCCTCCTGAGGTGCTGGATGAGAAGTGCATCTCACTTCTGTCGTAATCTTCCCACCAGTAACCCCAGTGTCACCATGAGAAATTCATCAGACAAATGCGAACTGAGGGACATTCTACAGCACACCTAACCAGTACTCTTCTATAAATCTCCAGGTCATTTAAAAAAAATAAAAAAAGAACAAGGAAAGACTGACAAATTATCAGACTGGAGGAGACTAAGGAACTATAAGGAGTAAATGCAATGTGGAATCCTGAATTTGATCCTGGAACAGAAAAATGCCACTAGTGCAAAAACTACTGACATCAAATAAACCTAGACGTCCGTTAATAGTATGTAGCAATGTTCTTAGTTTCGACAAATGTACAGTGGTAATGAAAGATGCTACATTAGGGGAAACTTATAAGGGATATACTGGAATTCTGTACTATCTTTGCAACTTTGACAAATCTTAAGTTATTCTAAAATAATGGTTGTTTAAACAAACAAACAAACAAACAATCAAGCCAAAGCTTCAGTTTAATAAAATCAGAAGCATATAACTTAATGGCCCCCACTCCACCAAAATTTTATTTCTTCTTCTCATGCTGTGTCATTTGCCTTAGCACCTACCACAAGACTACGTTCCTGAAGGAAGGAGGTTTTGCTATTTTGTCAGATCTCTGCTGGATCCCCAACATCCAGAAAAGTAGCCAGCCATTAGTAGGCATTCAACAAATACAGGGTAAGCAAAAGTAGACTTACAGTTGTTCATATGGAAAAATACAGGAATAAATAATCATACAAGAATAAACTGTGTTTCACAACTCACAACTTCTCTATTACTATTTTATTTCCCCCTCTAAACTGTTAATATGATGTTTCTTTTTACACTCTAGCAACAAGGTAACCTCCAAAGGACCTAAGCACAAAGCAGGAAAAAGATGAGAAGAGCACAAGTGTCAAACTCTATAAAACTCTTGCTATGATCTATAAAGCTCTTTATCACTTAAAAAGTATGCATCTAAAAAAAATGTCTTTTGCATACATCATCAAGTTTCAAATTCTCTGCCTGTTTTTTTTACCCCCAAGATTCTTTATTTGTGTATTTTTAGAGAGATGGGAAGGGAGGAAGAGGGGGAGAAAAATATCATTGTGTGGTTGGCTCTCACATGCTCCCTACTGGAGACCTGACCCACAACTCAAGAATATGCCCTAGACTGGGAATCAAACCAGAGACGCTTTGTTTCTCAGGCTGGCATTCAATCCACTGAGTCACACCAGTCAGGGCTCTCTGCCTGACTTTAAAGTCACCTATGAGCAACACAAAAACACAAGAAACAAAATTACCAGTTTGGTGCATGATAATTTACTTTTCTATAAATGAACAAGATACTTACGTGGGTCATCTTTACATACTTTCCGTTAAAATAAAATTGTGGGAACCGAAAATGGTACAGCTGCTTTGGAAAACTGTTTGGCAATTCCTAATCAAGTCAAACATACAACCCAGAAATCCTATTATTAAGTACTTAACCAAGAGAAAAGAAAACTGTTTTCATACAAAAACCTCTAAGTGAATCTTTACAGCGGCTTTATTTAATATCACCAAAAACTGAAAACATCCCAAATACCCAATGGTAAATAGAGAAACACACTCAGTTACACCCATAAATGGTGTTCTACTCAGTAGTATATTAGTCCCCAATAAAAAGGAATGAAATACTGATACACACAACAAAATGGATGAAGCTGAAATGCATTACGCCAAGAGAAGGAAGCTGGACTCAACTACATTTAGAGGACAGCCTGGAAAATGCAAAACTGTAGGGATGAAGAGCGGATCAGCGGTTGCAGGAGGTGAAGGCCAGAGGGTGGAACTGACTCTTCAGAGGGACCACAAGGAAAATTTTTGGAGTGATGGACTTTTTTCTGTACATTGACTGTGATGGTGTTTAAGTGAATATATTTCTATCAAAACTCAGATCTGTTCACAAAAATGAATGAATTTTACTGTGTATGATTTTAGAAATAAATATGGAAAAAAAAATAAAAGGGGGGCCAAGAAAATATATACATGAATGTATATGGGAAGAAGCTCTTGTTCCAAAGGACAATCATTAACCTGTGGTTTTCTTCTCTGCTTTAAGTCTCAAAGCTAAGGTAGAATTTTGAATAAAAATACAATCTTTCAGCACAGCGAGTGTGCTGCAATAATTTTTAAAACATGCAATACCTCACAATCAGTGACAGTCAGTATCCGTGACCAGTCAGGGTCACTGACCTCTTTTCTCCTAAATTAAGGTTGTCAAATAAAAACACTGACAACAGCCAAGAGAACAACAGCTGTCATGTGTGAATGAATCAAAATTATACTTATTTTGTAGGGGTCAGATGGGCAAAATAATCTATTTTTTGGTGCACTGCAGAATTTCAGTAATTAGTTTATGTGTGCTCTGAAAATAGGTGCTTTTGCAGATTACTTCAGTTGTTATATTTGGGACCTACACTCTGATGGAAATTAACACTAATCTCAGCTCTAAGAATTCAGGAAGCTGCACAAACCAGATAAATTTGTTATTAAAATTAAGACAGTACAGGAAACCTGATGGAAAGCTGAGCTACCTTTGTAATTAAGAGTAAATGATAGCACTAATACACAAATTTGGTGTTATATTTCCCTAAAACTCCAATGTCCCTGTTAACTGGGGACAAGCCCCAACAAATTTATTAAGGTGAAAGTTGGGTGCATGTTACTCAAGGCTGAGGAAAACACAGGACTAGGCTAAGCTGTGATCAGTAAAAGCTAAAGGTCTGTGAGAAGTACTCTTTAAACTGGGATCTAAATAGTATTCTATTTAAACACTAAGGTAATGACAGCATGTTTAAACTCTTTTCTAACTGCCATTTTGGGAGGTAAAAAGAGTCTAAATGAGTGAATGGTCTCACTCAGGTAACATATGTGGATCATCAAAGGGTATAAATAAATATGTAATAATAAAAAATATTTCTGGAAAAATAAAATTAAAATATGGCCTTAGATCTCAGGAGCAATGAATACAGAAACCAAGAGCCTGAGTTTTAGGTCTCGAGCTTGATAGAGTCAATCAATTTCTTGGAAACAATTTTTTTCTATGTTCTTCAATTAAGTAATGTATAACTTAGTCAAGTAAAAGGAAATGTGCAAGATGCTGGGATACGGTAGTGCTAAAACTGAGCTGTGCGTACAGCTAAGACAGGGCGTAGACACAACCAGATGAGCCCATCATCCAGCAAGCTTAAAGGAGCCCTCGCCCTGGTAGGTGGGGCTCAGTGGGCTGGAGTGTCATCCTGTAAACCAACAGGTCATGGGTTCAACTCCCGGTCAGAGCACATGCCAAGGTTGTGGGTTCATTCCCAGTCCAGGCATGTATGAGAACTGTCCCCAGTCCGGGTGCATAGGAGAGGCACCCAATGAATGTTCCCCTCTCACATCAATGTTTCTCTTCCTCTCTCTCTCCCTCCCTTCCCCTCTCTCTAAAATCAATAACCATGTCCTCAGATGAGGATTTAAAAAAAAAAAAAATCCTCTTGGCACAATTAGAGAGCTAATCACTGACCTAATGCACAAAAGAAGAATGAGAATCTTCCAGTAAACATTTTCCGGGGTCAGTGCTAGTAG